GGGGGGGGGGGGGGGCGCGCGGCCAAGGGCGCATCACGCCATAGCGTTATCAGCCGCCGAGGCGAACGCGTCGTGGAAGCTGCTGCGTTATTTTCTAAATTATTTCGCGTCGATTTTTAATACCGCATTTTGACTTCGCCACAATTACGACAATAATTAACACGATTTGAGACGCATACTTATTACGCAAGCAGATGTTGTGGGCTTTACCACAGCAGGTAATTACCGCGTTTTATTTATTTTTTTACTTGTTAGATAGAGAAACGTCGCGATCGAGTTACTCAATGCCGATCAAATATTATCATCATCCATTTATTATTCGAGTATTGTTATTTCTTTATACGGTTGTCATTTAACTATTTTTATTACGTATTGAGAAGCAACTCGAGCGTGCCGTTACGATAATTTCCTTACCTCGTCTTGCTGTCGTGTGTAATGAATTGATACTACCGGATATTATTATATGATTGTCGATCAGATATTAATATCATCATCTATTAATTAATGGGGTATTACTTTTTTATTCAGCTATGATTTAATTATTTCTTATTGCGCATTGGGAAGGAACTCGAGCGTACCGTTATGACAATTTTATTTTTTCGTTTTGCTGTCGCGTGTAATTGATACTAAATTATTAAATTACTAAATTAAATTAAATTTCTGTCACAGATATCCAATAGAGCAGACGCAGTCACGCGGCTCTAGGGGATGCGATGCCTGGGGGATGCCGCGCCGAAGGATTCGGTTCGGGCCTTTCTGAGTCGGCTCAAAGGTGAGCTTCACTAATTTGTACTTATAATTAGAAATCCGATAAAACTAAAAATTTTTTTGTTTGGAATCGAATTCCTTAATATCTCCATTGTCGTGTGTAATATAAAATTAAATCTGCTTTCTGTTATAGAGATAAAGCAGACGACCAGCCGACTCTTAGGGGCTGCTGCGCCGGAGGATCTGGCTCGGGCCGAGCAGGGTTGGCTCGAAGGTGAGCTTTATTAATTATCATTTGTAATTAGAAATCCGACAAGATAATTCTCTTGCTGGAAATCGAGATAATTTGAATCGAATCAAAGATCGCGTTAAGTCGTAATTACACGCGGGGAGAATTTTTTCTGAGTAACATCATCACTTGAAAAATTTTGATTTGTTCTGATTAAAAGATTTATTTGCAACGTCGAGAGAAAAAAGAGTGGAATATTCCAAGTGTAAATGCATTCCGAAAAATTCTTTTAGCGTAAAAAATATCGCGTTTATTTTTTTTAATCCTTCAAATTTATTCACTCAAATCGTTATCAATGCACGAATCTAATCGGCGAAATGCCATTTTTCTGTTCCAGAAGCGAAAGCAGAATGTGGCTACCCTGATCAGCAGTTTGGTGAGTCAAAATAAGAAACATTGATAATAGAAAGACAAAAAGTCTTTCGATGTAATGCATGTTTATCAAATCAATGCGATTTACTTTGTGTAGTGTAGTATGTGTACGTGCCGTCCAATAAAAATTACACTGCTCGAAACAATTAGAAGATCGCTTTTTCAAATAATATTAGTGATAATGTATATTTTACATAAGTTTGACAAATAAATTTTCAAGTATTTTTCTTCCAATGTACATATATTTATTAAGTGATTAACTTGGATTATTAATTGGTCGATGTTTTTTGTTGGAGGAAATTTTGATTAATCAAATCCCACACTATCTGGTAGATGCTTAAAGTATTGAGTATACGCTCTGAACATGCAAAATTTTGTAAAATTATTCAGTTTTATTGAATGCGATCTTCCAGGTGTTTCGAGTAGTACGCCAACGCGCAAAGGGATTGCGCCACAGAAAATACGCAATTACATCACCCGCGTCATAGATCTTCCGCCGGTCGTTAATTTTCTCAATTTTCTCTTATGAGCTTGAATCGCGATTGCATTTCATAATATAGAGTTCGTGCTTCGTTATTAAGTAAAATTCGATATCGTGCAGCACCTGTGCGAAGCGATCTAACGTGATTATATAAACTGCTCACAAAATTAATTTCACGATCGTCAGAAAAATTTTAAGTTTCAATTTTTTACTTAGAGTTAGAGATTTTTAACGCGGGACACAATAAAAACAATGCTAGCGAGCGTTGATTCCTCGCGATGTATACATGTCAGATATGCGAGCAGTTGTTTGTTTACTTACGCGGCGCGCGACAAGTTCCATCGAACGAAGACAGACTTTTCACGCGGTAACATTTTTGTCGCGTGAATTTTGAATAGAATCTTTACCTCTATCGTCACAATTTTCATAGTTTTTGATTTTTCATTCACGCTCGCGTTCGCGATTATTAATTTGATAGGTTTGCGAATTTCACTGGATCGTATTTACGGAAGAGTCGCGAGCGAACTTCGCACAAATATTGCGGAGTTGTTATCCGTCAAATCATTGCGGAATTGTCTTCGCAAGTGTATTGCGAAACTATTATTCGCAAAAATATTGCGAAATTGTCTTCACAAAATTATTGTGGAGTTGTTATCCGCAAAAGTATTGCGGAATTGTCTTCGCAAAAGTATTGCGGAGCTGTTATTCGCAAAAATATTGCGGAATTATCTTCGCAAAAGTATTGCGGAGCTGTATTGCAGCCTACTACGCTGCACCATCGAAACGTTACATTAGGGATATTCCGTGTCGTACGTGAGAATCTCGCACAGATTACTTCGCCCACGCGTCGAAAGATTCCGCGAGATCGGCCTTCGATTCGTGTCGCGTGTTCCCTTCGCTTGTGGATTCTATTTTCTTTGTAAGCAATTCGCGTGGCGCGTGTATCAAAGCGATACACTACATCGATCGGACCGTTGCTGAATTCGTCGCACATACTCGTCATTTATCCGAAAGGCCGACATTTCCTCGAAGACGCAGTTCGCGATATTTTATACGCAATTCGCGACTCGGAGTGTATCCCCCAAGAGAGACGGGATTTTTCGTGAAACCTCCGTTAGATTACCGCGATCGGGAGTGAATTACAGGCGACGTGGGACGCGAGGACCATTGGAGTGTCAGATGCAGCGAGAGGATGGCTGGTGGACCCTGGACACCGTGGGACGTCGCGCAATGGTGAGTGCTCAATTTAGACGCTCATATAGTAGACACAAAGCGTCACTTTACGTAGATTGCATGCACGTAGACGTAAATCGCATTGGGTTCGACGGGAAGTAAAGTAAGAATTGGAATTTGCAATTCGCCGGAGTTACGTAAGAATGATCCAACCAAAGAATTTAGCTCTGAGATTTTCGCAATAGTTCAACGAGTCAAGCATTTCCATTTCAAGTGTACTGACTAGCTCAGTCCTTAGAAAAATGTGCAAAAAGACGCGACTGGTAAAAAATTAAACTGTTAAAATAAAACTGTTTCTTAGTTCATTTCAAGTATCTATAGGGCTTGAGTTTTTTTGTTTGATTTAAAAAGATGTGAATGGAGTATCCATTGATAAAAGCTTATAATTTTTTGAATTTGATCATTCTTGCATAACAATGGCCAATTGAAATTTCGATTCGACAGGTTTCTTTCTCGTCGGATTATTTCTTGATGATACATTAATCTGATATATTTCAACATGTCATATTTATATGCTCTATATATGTTATATATGCTTCTTTTATGCTCTATATATGCTTTATATATATCCAATGTATGCTATATATATATACTATTTGATTGATATGCTTTATAACTTGTTATGTCGTATTATATACGACATATATCTTAAATTTCGGAGATATTTTCTTACGCATATGCGTTTATTGTTGACAAGACGACAAATTAAATTTTGATAAATTAAAGACAACAAATTAAATTATTAAGCCGAGACTCGAACCGAAATATTTCGATTTCCCGCTAAATTATTAAGCCAAGATTCGTATCTGAGTGTTTTGAGATTCCGCTAAACCATTAAGCCGAGATTCGAACCGAAGTATTTTGAGTCTTCGCCAATTTATTAAGTCGAGTTAGTTAAGCCTGGGATAATTTTTTAAAGTTTCTTAAAGAAATTTTCGCGTTTGCAAAGAAAGTTTTTGCAAAGATATTTTCGAAAATGACGTGAAGTGTGTGTATTTCGTCTCTTGGATGATAGTGTGCGTTAATGTAACATTACTCCTTTGTAATACGCCCAGAATCTTGAAAATAATTTTCCAATAATTTCCAATAATTTTCCCAAAGTCGCGTTCATAACGTTAGGTCCAATTTTGCGTCATAGTAATGTTGGATTCTCGCGAATTGGCCGAAAGTCGCATGTTACTGCAGGTTATTTAGGTCATATAGTGTTAGCATCTAGAGCACATTCTGAGATAATATCTTATAGTTTTTTGTAGTAATTTTCGCGTTCGCAAAGATGTATTTTCGAAAATGACGTGAAGTTTGACTATTTCGCTCTGCATCCCGGATCACGTGGGATGTTCCGCTTCACTTTCGCACGTACTTTCACCATGCAAAACGGTTTTTTATTCGACGGAGATAGAAAGAAGTAGTCTTTGCAGAAAAATTCGATGTTCTGATAGTTTCTTATCGTTTTCGTCTTATATTGAGATGCAAGAGAGTTTTTTAATTCGACGCAGGTAGAAAGAAGTAAGCATTGCAGAAAGATTCGATGTCGTGATGGTAACTGTTTCTTATTTTTCGTCTCATATTGTGGGATGTTCCGCTTCATTTTCGCACGTAATTTCACCATGCAAAAGAGTTTTTCATTCGACGGAGATAGAAAGAAATAGTCTTTGCAGAAAGATTCGATGTCCTGATAGTTTCTTATCGTTTTTGTCTAATACTGAGAGATGCTCCGCTTCATTTTTGCACGTACTTTCACCATGCAAAAGGGTTTTTAATTTTGTCGAATCAGCACATATTTTGTCGAATTAGACAATAATTTTGCTAAAGCATTCGGTATCACGTCAACGACATTTTCCAATAAATTTTACTTTGTGTTGATTTGACTAAATTAAAAATGCTTTTGTATAGTAAAAATACGTGCATAAATAAAATAGGGCATTTCTGTCTCAAGGATGAAAACGATGTGGAACTATTGCTATAGTGATACTGATTTCATTTTTCAAAAATTATAGCGTACTGACTTCTCCAATTTATATAATAAAATTACATGCGAAAATAAAGTGTAACATTGATCAGTGCGAAATAAAAGTGATATCTCAAATTACCGTTGCTAATTATATTGAAAACTCAAATAATAGGTAACGTATTTTTCAAAAAATTATTCGCAAATTACGCTTGCGCCTACAACATTCTTCTTTAAAAACTCTTTTTTTGATACACAAGCGGTTTGAAGAATGCATCAGAAAAGTAGCAAGAGCCTATTTTGGAGAGAATGCGAATGAGAGATATATTTATATATTTATAATATCGACAACGTGGCATTTACATTTACGTAACGTCTATGTGTAAAAAAATTGAACTGACAATGTACCATACACACATGCATAACATCTGTGAAAAGATGATAGCGGTATTATGTTAACGTCTATTTGACGATTGTTTTTATTCCATAAGTATCTATATGTACATAAATTCGATATCGTCGGTAAATGATGATAACGTTTTCTACTTTTTGATGATCGCTTTGCGTTATCGACGCTTATCAAGTTCGTGGCTCGCTCCCCTTAAGTTTAAACTCTGTTCAAACACATTTGATTGTTTTTCAATGGATGGATCAATGTAAAATAAACAAGACATAAAACTAGGTTTATAGATTAAGGAAAATTTAATTAAACTATAGTTTTTAAATCGTTATTGAAAAACCAGCTCTAAAAATGTTACGTGCTTGTTCACAAAATGATAAAGAAACTTTTTGTTTAGTATAACGTAATTTACACGAGTATCATCAACGATATATCATCAACAGATACTCTGTGTGTGTGTGTGTGTGTGTGTGTGTGTGTGTGTGTGTGTGTGTGTGTGTTGGTGTGTACATATTTGGAGGAGAGGCTATC